CCCAGGGGAGAGAGGCTGTGTATCTGCAATCTGTCTCCCCTGTCCCCTACCCCCAGCTCCAGTGCTGTCTTCAAGGTGGGGGCGGGGGGGGAGGTAGAGGAAGGAGCTCTGTTTGGAGTTTGTCCAACCTGTGCTGGAGGGTGGTGTAGGTGGATTGGGGCCCCCTCAAGGTGGGGAGCTCCAATCCACTGACCCCATCTTCTAGCACAGGCTGGGCAAACCCCAGACAGAGCTCCCTATCCTCCTCTTCCTCCCCCCCTTCCTGGAGACAGCACCAGCAGCGCTATTTGTTGCTCTGGGCAGGAACAAACAGAACTTAGTGAAGGCTCTCTGGGTTGGAGCACTTTCATCTGAACCCTCATTAAATGAGGGTTAATTTGTCCTGCGACCGAACACTTTTAAAGCGCTCTGTATCTGTGCACTTCTGTCAGGGCACCGTTGAAGATCACTTTCAAGGGGCCAATTGTGTAACAAACAACTTCTGTCTGCACCTGAGGTCAGTAAAACAGCAGTTATGTGTGTGTAACTCAGAGTGAGGAAGTAGCAGACCTGAGAACAGTACCCTTGTACAATTTACTTACATGTTTGTAGACCAGGGGTGGACAATTATTTGGGCCTGCAAGCCACATAGCAACCCCGCCCCTGCACAACAGCTTGCCAAACCCCCCAGGTGGGATGGGGCTGTGGGCGGGTGGGGAGCTGGCATGGGCCTGGGTTGCAGCTTCAGCAGAGGCAGCTCAGCCAGCGCCGCTGCCACCACCAGCACCACCTCCAGGCTGCCCTTCTACCCCAGCAAGACCCTCAGGTGGATGCCCTGATCCTCAGTGGGAACCTCCTGGCTGTGTGTACAGCTGATGCTGGCACCTGCCCAGTGCTGCTTCCGGCACATGGACCAGGAACTGGTGTAAGCTATGGGGACGTACCATAGGTGTGGGATGCTTTGGGTGGGGGGATAGGGAAAGACAGAGAGAGACAGAGACAGGGAGAGGCAGCCCTGCCTACCCTCTGCCCATGATGAACAGTGGTCGCTGGTGGTGGGTGATGGGAAAAAGCAGGACCTAGTGGTGGACACGCTAACCACTGCCTGGGCCCTTCTGGTGGTGGCTGCCCAGAGCCCACACCAGGGCTGCCCTGTGGCTCCTCCCTGCTTCTCCCACTGCCACCACCAGTGCTACCTCCAGGCTGCCCTGGACCAGTGAAGTGGAAGTCCAAGGCAGCTTTAGCATGAGCTGTGGGTGGCCACATCCAGAAGGGCCCCAGCACCCACCATCAGGTCTCACTTTTTTCTAACACCCAGCACTGGCTGCTGCCACTCACCGTGGGCAGGGCTGCTTCTCTCTGTGTCTCCCACCTTCCCTTTACCTCTCCCCCCGCCTGAACCATCCCACACCTACAGCACATCCCCACAGTTTACACCAGTTCCTGGCCTGCATGCCAGAAACAGCTCTGAGTGCTGCCGGAAGCAGCTGTGGACACAGGCAACAGGTTCCCGCTGGGGATTGGGGTCTTTGCCCAGGTCTGCAGGTGACCCTGCTGCATCAGCATGTCGGCTGCAGTCCTGGGCGGTCACCCTGATCCCCAGTGTGAATCTGCTGGCAGTGTCCATAGCTAACATTGGCTCACACTTGACACTGCTTCCAGCACATGGGATGAGAGCTGGTGTAAGCTGTAGATGGGGCCCAAACATGCTTGCCTGCCTGCCTAGCACACCACAGCACAGCAGCTGGCTCCCTGCAGGCCAGATCCCATGACTTTGTGGCCCCACACCCGTGGGCCAGATACAATCAGTTGGCAGGCCAGATCTGGCCTGTGGACCATATTTTGACCACCCCTGTTATAGACCAACTTTTAGACTTACAATACCTATGACAGACAAGGTGGACATGGGCAGAAAATACATCTGAACTGTGCATGATTTCACTGCAAGTGTGAATGGGATAAAGTGCAACTAAACCCTACTCAGGTCAATGTAGGGGTTATTTTCAGACGCATCATGCCAAATTTTCTGCCACTCAACATCTGGCTTCTTTTATATGAATGAGCTTTAATTAACAGATATTTTCAGTCTTTATTTTGTCTCAGTTACTATTCTTTCCTTTCTATGGACATGATTTTATTCTTTTTATGGTCTTCAACCTGTTCATGCATGTTATTTAAACAGTTGTCTTCCACCCAGGAGACGACTGCATTTTGGTACCAGATGGCACAAAACTCACACGGGAGTTTTGTGAATCTTAATATTTGCACAGTGCTTTGAGATCTTCAGTTGACAGTGATGGTAGATTTACAAAGTATTATTACTATTCCTTGTATGGACTAGCAAATAAGCATTTAACAATAAACAGTTAACAATTAAGCTAAGCATTTGGGGGGGAGGGCTCACATCTGTTGTCATTATTGTGAAATAATCATTTTTTTAATGGTGTGTTTGGGGCAAAGGTTTGCATTCCCTTTCAAAAATGAGAACTGCCCCTGGTTTTAGGGTTCTGCCACTAGAGACATTAGGTTCATTGACCTGTAAAACAAACAGTTTGAAAATAAACCAACCTGATATCATTAGCAGGTGGCCAATACTGAATGAGAAGCAGAAAGGAAAGTCCTGCCTTGTTGATATTCTTCATCATAACAGGCTTGGACAAATGACAACCCGTCCAAGGGACATGGCTATAAATTACTAAACAAACAAAGTTCGGGTAGGTGCAGAAAGCCCATCTTATTTGCCAGGAAGGATTACAAAATACTAGTGTTTTCTCAACTGCAAACCTGCACAGTTCATTGGAAGCAAGACCAAAAGGTGCTAGAGGTGTGAGTGGGACAAATATGGAGACAAGCTTTGGATCCTACCTTTACAAGGAAATTTGTTAAAATCTTGCTTGTGCCAATAGGAACAGTAGAAGACACAAGACCATTTGGAGCTTGTCTAACCTTAGAAGTCCCCTTTGTGGTGTTCCATGTAGTGTTAGCAAAGCTCGCAGACTTTGTGCAGGGACTGGGTTATGCAATGTCAGATCACAGATTCAGTCAGAGGAACAAAAGCAAATTCCAACATGCATCCAGAGTTCAATACATTACCTCCTTCTCCCAGTCACTCTTCATCATGCTTCTTTTTGAAGTCCCTTCTGAACTTTTGAAGTTCTCCTCCCTGGTAGCCTTCCACACAATAGTTAATATCTACATAACATTTTTAGGAAAGAAAACAAGGACACCCTTTGAAATGCGACTGATTTCTCTCAATAAAATAGCTTCTAAGGTCCAAGGTGACAACAAAACTTGCTGAATACGTAAGTACTCACCCAGCCATTGTATTATCTCTCTCTCTCATCGCTTTGTAAAGTACTTTGAGATGCCATTCTCATGAAAACTGCCATAGAGAAGCACATTCATTTCTTCTTCTCATAAGTATTTTGTTCTGCTAGTAAATGGAAAGGGGTTGTGCCCTCTGGTACATGTGTACAGTAGCTAAAACACTGTCAGCACTGTTGGAATACAAACAACAAATAATCACTACTCTCTCATCCTTTGTTATGGATATTCTTTGGAAAAAGGACCATTTTTCACCCTGGACTGTGCCAAGCACGATTGACGTCAATCAGGATCGAGTCCCATTTTTGCTAGGTACTTTGCATACCCCTAGGGACAGGCAGTCTCTGCCCCCAAAACGTTTTAGTTTAAATGGACAACAGAGTTGAAAGAACCACCATCAGTGGCCCCAATCCATATGTGGCTCCCACTGAACTAAACACCTGCCAGAAACATACTAAAGGTAGTCCCCTTCTTTTGAAGAGCTTACAGTCTTAAAAAAAGAGAGGCCAATTAAAGATAGAGGGAAGGTAGTCTTATTATGCACATTTTACACATGGAGATCTTGGGCATAAGAAGATTAAATGGCTTGTCTCAAGTCACCATGCAACAGGCCTCTGGTAGAGCTGAGAACTGAACTTGAATATCTTGTGACTTGGACCCCAATCTCATTTGAGGCCTCCTGGAGTTACTGTAATGCAAGATAACAACTATTTCTTATGATTATTATCCAGAGAAATATTGAGTTAATCAGGCCAGCAGTTGTTGGACATGCTCCAGACGGCAGGTTCAGCAAGGGTCACTGCAGCAGGGAAAAAAAATCCTTTTGAAGTTAATTCTAACCATGTTTAATGAAGATGAAGAGAAATGAATAGTGTCTGCAAGGTGAGCTAGCTGATTACAGAGGCCATGGCTATGTCAGTCACCCTAGGGACATACACCCACAATCAATTACTCCTTTAGAGAAACACAAGCAAGAAGGCTAAATGTGTGCTGTCTCTCTTGCCCAGAATATAACAGCAGCTGAGATGCATCTAACTTAACTAACCCACACTTCTCATGGAAACTGAATGGACAGGCAATACTAGACAGAGGGATCAGAAGAGCGGAATGATCTAAAAGGACTGGTCTCCTGGCACCAGGTAAGGAGTGACAACTTCTGCAAACATAAGATTAGCAGGTCTTTCTAGATCAGCGGTGTCAAACAAACAGCCCATGGGCCAGGTTCCACCTACGAAGCTGTTCTGTCCAGCTGGCGGACTACCGATGTGGCCAGGAAGAACGGCCTGTTGAAGAATGGTAATCAAGAAGGCAAACAAGGACTGGCACAGCCCTGGGTGACCAGCGGCTGCTTTGCTGGTCACCACTGCTACAGCTTTACTTCCCTGGCCACTGGACCCCTCAGCATGCCCTGTGCTGAAGTTAGAGTCAACGGTGCCACTACAACAGCTCTGGGTTCATCACTGAGAAGGCACTAAAATCACTGCCGTGTGCTCTAAATCAAAGCTGGAGCTGCTGCTGCTACTGCTGCTATGTGGTTCAGTCCGGAGCCGAGGCTGCTGCCACTGTGGCAGCTTTCTCATGCCCCAGTCCAAATCCAACCCACAAGAAGCCCTGTGGGTCCAGAGCTGGCCTAGGACACAAGGCAAGTTTGATCCCCCTGTTTTAGATGATGTGAATGGAGGCAAGAAAAAAAAAAGCCAATTATCTGTGCCAATCAGCAGCATGCAAAGCCACTAGTCCAAGCACCTAATCTACTCACTTATCCTTGCCAGGAAAACTCTAGTGAAAGAAACTGATATGATCATTCTTTTATGCAAGCTACATTTTGGGCAAACAGAATGTGGCTAAACTGAATTCACCCTTTGGGCCATGTCACACTAGAGAAAGAGCTAGTGATTTATACAGTTCAGCTAGGTAGAAATATATAACAGTTGTGTAACTGCCTGTACATCTCACAGCTGGGAATGTTGCCAAATTGTCATCTGACACAATGAAGAAGAAAAGTTGCGTGTGGTTTGGCATGGTAGAAAAGCTTGCAGCCAATCCCAAAATTAGTTTGTTTTTTTAAATTAAACAATTATCTACCAACCAACTCTTATCCTCAGAAAATTGGGCCTCTCTCCATCTCTCTACAACAGTGATTCTCAGCCTTTTAGGCTCCTAAACTCAAGACACCCCTGACAAGACTCAAGGCACCCCTCAGAAAATGCCAGCTCTTTGTTTTCACTCATTTTTTTCAGTATGGAAAAATAATAGAGCAATTTTTCTATTGCAGAGAACTCAGAAAGACCGCAACAGGTCAGAACATTTTAACATTATGGGTTTCTATTTGAAATCTCTGGGCTTATCTTGTGAATCATACTGGCTGACTGCTGACATACCGCTGATGTTGCATGGGACCCTGCAACACCCTTGAAAAGACCACAAAGTACCCCAGGATGCCTCAGCATCCTAGTTGAAAATCATTGCTCTACAAAAATCATTTGTAGGTGCATGTAAACACCTTTCCACTTCCTTGGAAATTGGCAAGCACAAATACTTTCACTCTCTTTAGAATGGCAACAGCATCTCAGTGCCAACAAATGAGCTGATTCCGGCAGCTGTCAAACTCAGAAGACAGATAGGCCTGTGGTTTAGGGCACTGGACTGGGATGAAGGGGTTTGGAGTCCAGTTCCTAATGCTGTGACAGCTTCAGTTGGGGATCTTCAGCAAGTCACTTGATCTCACTATGCCTGGATTTCTCCTCTGAAGATACAGGACATCTCCAGCACTTCCCAAGCATGTGAAGGAGATAATTTTGGTCATGTTTTGAAGGTCTAAAATACATGGACTTGTGCAATCATGTCATAGATCTTTCCTGGAAAGGCATTTTGGGCAGTGTTGCTATCACCTACAAGTGGTTCTCAAACAGGGTCCTGTGGCACACTGGGTTGTCAAGAGTGCTGCGGGATGCCACACAATACTAGCACTGTTAGGTGTGCAAACACGATTCACCCGATAAACCCCAAATAGGAATCCATAGTGTTCAGTGCTCCTGGCAACAAAGGAATTGCTATATTAGTCTTCTCTAGTCAAAAAAATAAGTGAAAAGTAAGAGGTGGCATTTTCTGAGAGTTGCCTCAAGTCTAACAGGAGGTGTCTTGAGTCTGAAAAGGTTAAGAACTCCTGAACTACAAAGTTGTTTTTTCACCATAGGATGGCTCATGTTTTGATTCAAGATCTCCCTTTCTCCTCCAGCTGCTGAAGAAATGAGTTGATAACCAGTCACACACACACAGACAAGTCAAAACACTCAGAAGGTCTTTTCTCAGCAATGTAAGCATCAGGTAAATGGCACAACAGAGAACTAGGAATTAGCTAGTGATCAGGGCACCCTCATCTCTAGCTAGTTACTCAGCTGGTAAAACTGGACAGGCACAAAAAGTCAGTGACAAAAATATGAACTCCACTTTCTAGACGGCCTTTTAAGTATAGCCATCAGGAAGCCCGTAGACTGATAAAAGTCCTGAAAACACACTGATTTTCAGCAGTGATAAGCACTGTGGCTGCTTGCAGACATAAAAAAAGAACAACACAAAAAACCCACACTTTACCAAAAGCAGCAGCACATTACTTCAAACTGCCTCTGCAGCATCTGTATAAATTGTGTGCTTCATTGGGGCTTTTTGATGCTTTTATCTAATAGCTGATTCAATAAAAGCGCCAAAAAACCCCACTAAAGCACGTGATGTATATAGACGTTAGGAGAGTCGGATCCAACTAATGCACTGCCTCTTCTGGTCATGCGCTGGGCTTGGCGTAGGAGCTTGCCAACTTTAAAGTAAAGCACAATTTTTTAAATATCTTGCCTGGGAACAAATCCCTCCTAGCAGCATGTTTCCTGAGGCACCAACTCTGATTTGATTTTGGAGGAAATTAATCCCAGTATCATCCTGCAGAGGGAGCTCTTGTGCAGCTCTGACTGCCCAGGATTGTGGCAACTCCCTTCCCAACCCAGATTTTCTGACCAACAGGAGGCCACAAAGGAAAACCAGGGAGGAGAGAAGATGATGCCAGCAGGAAGGCAACGAGGTATGTAGCAGTTTCCAGATATTGCAAGATAGTGAATAGGAAATTATGCTTTGTGCCTTTGTAAATGGCAGCCTACACACTGGATAGGAACGCTCTTATCAAGTGCATCTCACGCGATGGCAAAGTTTGGGACCCTCAAGGTCTAGCACATTTTTTACGATGGCTCCTTGTTCACTTAGTTTTGGCAGCTGTTATATTATGCACAATTCTATATTACGCAATATGGAAATACCATATTGACATTTTCCCCACTGGTGGATAAATGGACTGGACAAACAAGCTGCAGTATTACCTGATAATAGTGACGATGAGTTGATAGGCACAACGTTGCTGACCCAAAGCAGAACACATAGCAAGAGTTTAGCTCAGTTCCACTTATTTATGCAGAAACAACCACCAAAAGAAAATGCCTTTGGTGGGTTGCATGTTATCTGCGGTGTGTGATACAGGCCAACTTCTGTGGGACAGAACAACCGTCAGACTTATTTGGACTCTTACCATACTATCTGCTTGAGATCCCAGACAAGGAGAATGTCTCGGTTCGTAGCATCGTTCCGTTTGCTGATTGGTGCTAAGGTTTCCTGAAGTGATCTGTGATTTTGGCCGGTTTGATTTTGGGGCGTTCAATCTAGGATGCTTTAAGAAAGTGCTGAGCAGCTACTCTGACAATTAAACCCCTTTAAGGTTTCCTGTATCAGGTCCACAGAAACTGAGGCACTCAGCATCACAGGGCACTTCTGAAAATCCTGGCTTAGATCTTACCTGTCACATGGAGAAGGATTTTATATTGTTTGCTTTTATATGCAGCTGGATCCACTTTGGGCAAAGTCATAACAATTCCACAAGGAAATCAACAGGAAAAGGTAGCAGAAAAGACATTCATGTAAACACCACCGCCTATTTCCCAAATTAAATGGGAACGGTGCTGTATCCTAATTTATAATTCCTTCCTGTAACTGTACATTGGCCTGATTCGCACTGCTGCGGTCAAGAAAGGGATTCTCCTGAACTATTTTCAACAGTTTCCATCCTTTGAGAGCAGCCGGCCATTATCCCATGGCCAATATGTTTGTTTTAAATTTTCTGTTCTCTTTCCTTGCATGTTAATAAATACGTTGTTAGCTATCATCAGCCCCACAGATAAGTCAGTCATGGAAAGACAATCATCCTTGACTGTGAGGAATTGCTGCTGATGAACGAATACAATGAAAGCACTTTCAGCTGATATGCAGCCGATGCACTGTATTGATTTAAAAACCTGCTTTACATTCAAGAATTCTTTAGAAATGAATTTGGATCCCCTTTCACTTATAGAAGGCTCCTTTTGATATCTGAACAAAGCAGAGGTTTTGTAACAGACATAAGGGAGTTAAGAACCCAATTCTGAGTTTCAGTGAGAGCAAAGCCCCTACCCTCTCTTAGTCCCACAGTTTCTCTCTATACTAGTCTGAACCAAAATCAGATTCCCACACTTCCTTCTTTTAGGTGATATCCAGATCAAGAACCATAATCCGATCTTGTGGGTTGAAACAGTCCTAGAACTGCCATGGAGGTCTCAGTCATAGCTCAATCCATGAAACAGCAATGTGCACGCAGATCTGAAGCATTACTGTCCCTGGTAAGCAATGGTAACAATCTTTTCCTTTGGAAAATACGGGGAGTTAGTCAACTTCTACTAGTTTCCTAAACAATATACAAAGAAAACTTATGACAACTATTAAATGTAGATTGGAGCAAGCTCATCACTGTGCCTTGCCTTCCTTATTTAATATTTGTATCTCAGTAGCTCCAACTGAGAGGGGTACCATATTTTGCCAGACTAAAAAATAAATAAAATCTTAGCCCCAGCTGCAAATGGCTCCCATTTAATTTTATATCTGGAAGCTGCCAGGGAATGAATAGTAGATGGAGAAGGGTGGAGGGTGAGGTAGACTTAAAGGGAATAAAAGATACCGTAAGCACTGACAATTCATTAGTTGTCAAACCATAGACATGCACTAGTTCGCAAATGCCACTAAATCTCTAGGTAGCCTGTTCCAGTAGTTACCCACCCTCTGACTATGTGGGTGATAGGCACTAGAAAAGTCTACCTAGACAAGTTGTGGAATCTCCATCCCTGGACATTTTTGAGAGCGGGTTAGACAGACGCTTAACTGGGATGTTTGTTCAGGGATGATACTGCCTTTAACAGAGGCTGGACTAGATGGCCTCATGACATCCCCTGCAGCCCTACTTTCCTATGATGCTACAATCTTTATTGTGTCTTTCCACTCCAGTTTAGAGCGGGGTATAAGGGCTCCACATACTTCTAAGTACTAAAATGCAAACTGATTCCTAGCTTGGAGATCAGTACCTGAACCTATCACTTCTAGTCTAGGAACACATGTAGCCTTTGTCCCAGGACCAGTTGTACCTGTGTTTGCCCTAGAACAGAACAGTCCTGGGACTGGCATGTACACACATTGTTCTTCCAATCAGGGCTGAGAGAGTGGCTGAACATGCTGCAGCTTTTCTGCCATTGATTCAATGGTGTAATCCGAGGATAACCAGTCAGACTCACTTCGCTATATCGCAGCACAAACCCTTGGCACTTCCTGCGTGAACATTTTTAGGGTTTGTCTCTGGACAATAGACATGGACATCTGAATTTCATCCTGTGATAAAATGATTTCTCTCAGGACAAATGTGAGGTCCGTTTGTAGCCCTAATTAGTAGGTTATTGGATGGCAGATGCATTTTTCCTAGCTAGTGCTTCCTTGAGATAGTTACTCAAAAAACTAGGTTTGCCAAGAATACCATGCTCACCCTCTGTTTTCTTGGCTTCAGTTTTGTTCCCTTCCTTGGCTTGGAATCAATCCAATCTACTTTTTCTGAGAAGGTTAACAAGAAGTTTGACACTGTTTGCATCCAAATGTATCTTGTTCTCTGTTAGGATTGAAAAAGCAAACTCCTACAATATGCACAACACACAGTGTAATGGTTCCCAGCATGCACTGTTGGTGCTGTTCTATCATCTGTCCAATGATAGAACTGACTAAACTGGAGGACTGTATGCTGGGATCTGTTGTCCCTTTGAATCATACCTCTATAATAAAGCCAAAGGAAGATACAATCTGATCCCTTTAATGTAAGTCAGGCAGGGCCTTATGCTCTTGGAAAGTTGAACATATAATCCCCCTGACTGGGCAAACTATATTCCAACATTCATGAGTCAGCATTTTTCTTTCAGATGAAGGACATTACCTCCACATCTTATCCCTGAGATGCACTGGACACTAATTTTAATTGGTGTTCAAGTCACTCAGATGGCAAATGGCAGATTTTTCCTTCTTCAGCAATTATGATTTTATTCCTTTATCTCCACCTTGAAAGATCAACATTGAGATTTCAGTACACTTCCAGCTTCAGTGGTCTCAAACTTTACACCCTATCAAATTAAAGAGAAGATATTAAATTAAATGAAAATAATTACAGGTTTAGTGTAGAGACACATTTGCAGGTCATGTTATCTGACAGTTTTCCGTCTGACAACTTTTACTTTGCATCAAAACCACCCACAGACTCCAAAAGCCCTTTTTAGTTTGTTCAGGTACCTGTTCCTGAGACTTTTTCCTAAATTTAAAATCATGAACCCAAACTACCAGCCCAAGGAAACTTCCAAGCAGCTTCCACTTATGCACTGGGTAACAAGGCTTTTGTATCTGCAAATACTCTTGGGAACAGCGCTAATCAAAATATCCACACTATCTTGTGTATACAGCATCCCACACTTCAAAATAGCAGCAAGGGCACTTTAACTAAAGCTTGTTTTAGTTAAAGTTCCCCCACAGCCATTTTCAAGTATGGGGTCACTGAATACATATGATGCCGAGGCTGCTGGAGCATGCTAATGAGCATTAATCAAGTCTGCTCTAACACATTCTAGAATGCATTAGAGCAGGCATCAGGCACATGTATAGGTGCCCATAGAGTCTAAAACAAGGCCATGGCTTAAAATTTTTGCATTTGCAGCTTTCAGCTCTGTTGTGCTCATGTGCATTAAGGTAAACCAGGATAGTTCAGAAAAAGGGACAATTGTCACAGGTTTGGGAACCCATAACCTAGTGGGTACTAATAAGTGAATGTATGGTAATAACAACTTGCATTTATATTTGTATGAAATAGGGGTAAAGTCAGGCTCCAAGTAGCCAGAGAAAATTTGCAGGAGGCCAAGGTTAAATTAAGATAAGCCCTCTCTGGGACTACTGCTTTATTTATAGGATTCTTATTTAAGCCAAGACAAGCCAGTCAAGCCTCTAGCCAGTTAAGCATTTGAAACTCCAAACCAACACAACAAAAACCCAAGCAAACAAGTAGAACAGGTCATGTTTCCATAACTCCCAGCTTCAGCTTCTGGTCACCAACCTCTAGCTATCTCTCCCCTAACTGTGTTGTGAGCAAAGCTGCTGAGAAGACACAACTCAACATGTGTTATACCTTGGCCAGATAAGTGTCACAAACTGGTTACAAAAACACAGTTGTGCTTCTAGTAAAAATGGGACTTTTATTGAGCAGTGAGGCATTGTCACAGAGCTTGCCTTGTGAAATGCTCACGATCAGGGATCCGTTTTTTCCTTTCATGCAGAAAAATGCAGATTTTCTCCTTTAAAGAAGAAAAGCCCAGGAAACCACAGATTTCCCTTGCAGGCTGGCAGAGCTCCAGCCTGCAAGGGGCTGCTTGGAGCTGGGAGGAGCGGGAGGAGGACAATCAGAAGTGGGGGCGCCACGTGTATGTGCACGTGCACACATGCATGTAGCCAGCAATACAGCCAGGCAGCATGGTGGAAAGCAACTCCTGCAGCTCTCTAAAGGTAAGCCTATGGGACAGAGATAGAAACAAATTGCAGGGGATGACATAGGTGATGCATGGGGGGCACAAGTTGTGGGGAGACTGAGGTGACAGTGGTTTGTGCTGAGCCTGCACAGTGAGGTAGACCATGGGGGAGGGTTGGTGGTTGGGGATACTGTCCATCTGGGGCAGTGCCCTGGGCCCAGAGCTAGGGCCAGAGCCAGGGCCAGGGCTGGAGTAGGTGGGAATGTGTGACTGCAAAGTCCAGTTGTGGAATGGGACAGAGCATGGGTAGCTCATCCCCATTGCTGTTTGCACTCAAGGGGAGGGGTTGGGCCCACAGGCAATACATCAGAGGGTACGGGGGGCCTGTGCTCTCCCAGATTTGTGCACCCACAACAGGGCACAGGGCTGCAGTCTGGCTGGACTGGCACCAGGCATGAGCCCCCTGCAGCCCAGGAGACAGGATCCAATGCGGGAGGGCAGAGTGGGGTGGGGAGGCTCGGTGCTGCCACCACCATTGCTGGGAGTGCCGCACTGCCATGGCTCCCAAGCTGAGGTGCCATAGCAGTGGCATGGAGTTGTGTGCCCCCACTGTGGGGGCAGGCAGGAAGCAACTCATTTTTTTAATCAGAAAATTTGGGATTTTTTTTAAACAGAGAAAACCAGGATCCCTGCTCATTATAATCTACCCCATCCCTTCTAAACTCTGCATTCCACAGATATGAGCCACCCTCTCTCCTGTTTTATGATGTTGATGTTCCACTAATCAAGCTCTCCTTTGTTCTGCAATTTTTCTGTCTGCTAGCTGCTCCTGGTAATGAAGCTCCTATTTCATAGCCTCACAGATTGCTTTAACTCATTCCAATGAAATTATATTTGTTTTTGCTTCAATTTTAAACTGAATAATACAGACCTAGGCCCTTAGCATAGTAGCCAAGTTATTTTCTTACCTGGAGAAAAAATTGTTGTTTTATACGTGATGATGCACCTCACCATCTGCGCCTCTCTCCTTTCAAAATTGTAGATCCTCCCATGGATGTGATGTTAAAGCTTCCCCCCTTAAAACAGAGTGTGATGGCATTTGTGTCTGTGTCTGGGAGTGGCAGGAACTGGCCTGCTTACCTTTGGAAGAGGATTTACTTACCCATCGCCTCCCTCTGCTACTGTGTACATCAATGAAATATACAGCAGAGCAAGTTTCTGTCACCTGAAGTTTGTGTTGGTCCCAACAAATCACCTTCAGTGACTATGAAGCTCCCAGAGACCCAGCTGATGGTCAGGGAAAGAGAACAACACATGTTAAAATAAAATGGAAGGCAGTATGACACCACCTAGCAGGCAGCCACTGATTAATGATCTCTCAGTGGAATATGGTCATTAAACACAGCTGGAAGCTTTTGGAATTCACTCACCCAGCGGTGGCATGTCACTGCTTTGCCATTTAGCACATATGGTTGCAATTAATTACATGTAATTGAATAACTCCTTTTTTACCAGTTTAAAAGAAATCTGTCTGGGTTCTTTCTGCCTCCTGAATCGCATGAGGAATATCTTCTTGTTGCCATGTTAATGATTTGAAATGCTAGATCTTGTCACTAGCCAAAAGCACTTCCAGTGCCTCTGATGGGTTGTTTTGTGGGCTGAATACAGGTCACTTTCAACTTGGAAAACAAATCTAGGGTTTGATCCTGAACAGCGGTCAACAGCTGCAACTCTCTGACTCTAAGCACTTTTTAGCATACTTCAAGCTCTCGAGGAAAAAACACTCAAGAGAGGTTTATGGAGATACCTAATTCATCTAGGACAGCTCCTTCTATTGACTGCAGCAAGAGCATGCAAATTCTCCAGTGCACATCAATTTCGAGGACCTGGGAGAGGACCTCGTGTTGTCTATATCATACACAGATGAATTCATGTAAAACATTGACATGAGAAATAAAGATTCACAAAGCTAGAGCACAAAGCTATTGTGTTAGAGGAGGGCTGGCCAACTGCGGAGCAGTCAGTGGCCGCACCTATATGGAACTCTGCTATGCCATGGCTAAACCCTTCCCTCCCCTCACACAGGGGATGGCATAGTAGCATAGTGGAAGGCTTCAGGCTCCCACCCCTGAGATATGGGCCCTTGGGCTGTGCTGCACTCTCTCGCCCTGCAGGTGCCATCTCAGGAAGAAGAAACTGGAGGAGGAAGGGGGATCCTAGAGACCACAGCAGCAGCAGCTGCCAAAGTGGTAGGGAGTGCCTGCAGGTCAAAAATTAACCCCTCACAGGCTGCAAATTGGATGGCCCCGTACTAGCAGAAAGATATCCCACAACTTCTTATGTTTTCCTACATGAAAATATTTGAAGTCCCTCACTTTAGCTTTGTGCTTCAAAACCACAGAAGGCATGTAGTCCTGACTCCTTTCCCATTGCCTATCATTTAAAATGAAAAAGAACATGTTCACATTCAACACACTGCAGGGAAGATTTCCATGAGCTTGGTGTCTGAATGGAGACACCTTAAGAAGTCTTATAAAAAGAGCTGAGCCCACATAGTAAGCAAAATAAATCCTTGTAAGATGTCCCAAGTTGGGAATCAGAAGCACCGATTAATTTAGAAAATAGCATTCTTGATCTGTAGAGGCCACTCAGAAGTGCAGTATGATACCATGGGGTTGTTTTGAGGGGTTTTTTATAACTATATATGGTTAATCTGAGGTTCTATTAGAAGTAGCACCCAAACATCTTGAATGGAGTTTGAAGCTTAGCCAGACCTACTAAATTGAGCTTTCGGGTTTGATGTCCACCACTTGTGCTTCTAGGATGGCCAGAAATGCAGAGGTGGCACAAATAGCAGTAAAACAATGAACATGGGGGAAAATTATCAGACCTTTTTCTTAGCTTTAAAAAAAAAAAAAAGATGAAAGTTCAGAAACCTAATACTGCAGTTGGGACTGGAGCAAAGGGTGTGCCAATCCTGTGATCACCACACAGCCCAGTCCTGCAGGGGGGGTCTCTTATATGAAGAAAAATAGGGGCAGAACTGATGGACCTGTTAGTAGTTGCCCTCTAACAAGTAGTGGGTGACCAATGCACCAGCCCTGAGGTTCATGAATGGCACATTCTCCCAGTGGGAGAATGTCAGCAGTATGTAGGGTGCCCTCAAGGCCACATCAGAAGCAACTGTGAAGATACTGTCTCTACCAGGAAATATCAAGACTGGTTTTATGACAATGACTGGGAGATGCAAGAGTTGATCAGTTGTGCTTGTCAAAATGACACCAACTCCAAGCAAAAGAAACCGAATCCCCAACAAACCAAAGCAGAGGTATGAGGAAGGACCCGCAAATGAAGAACAGATGGTTGGAAGACAGGGCTAAGGAAATTCAATGTCTCGCTGACATCCACA